TGAGTGTCTGTTGTGGCTCCAGGATCATGTCAGTCTTCCTCTTATCGGTTTCTCTAGAAAAGGGGATCAACCGGAATCCTGAAGCTGCTCCTCCTGGATGGGTGAACTTACATGAAGGGAGTGGGTCCGAGTGTTGTGGAGGGAGGACTGCTGGGGTGTGCTGCCATGTCCCCCTTAGGGCCACGGCTCTTATGCTCCCAGGTACTGGGGGTGTTGGCTGCTGATGGCTACAAAAAAGTCCCTCCTTGGGAACTACCCTCAGCTGAAGGGTGCTTCCTCTCCCAACATTAGGCACCCTCTTCTAGGAGGCAGCCTACACATCCAATGATGCTCTGTCTGTGCAGCAGTACAAAAGATCCACCCACTTGTCTCAGTTTGGGACATCTCTGGAGGCCATCCTTTGGTTTTGTGTGATGCCTTCACTGTAGCCCAGCACAGTTCAATGTCTCCTCCCCAATGAATCACCTAAATACACTGTCTGTTTCCTGGAGAACCCAGCCTGCATCACAAATCTGGCCATATTAAAGACTTATCTGTCACCCAGCAGTCCAATTTCCTCTTGTGTCCTTTTTTTAGCAATAATATTCTTTCTACCTGGAACACTCCTTGTATTCTGTCCTGTCCCACCTACTCAACCTGAAACAACAGTCACAAGAAGCACAAATCTGACCAGTCCTCCCTGACTCCCTCAAGCCTCCTGGGGAACAGTTCAGGCACTTTGCATCATTTGTATTTGCCTTTTCCCACAAGAGTTCAAAGTAGCTCAGTGCACAGGACATAGTAAGAGCTCAATTATCATATTTTAACATATTATAAAATATTTTATCCATGCAAGAAGTCATAAAGAATATAACAAACCTCAGGGCCGGCCTGTGGCTCACTTGGGAGAGTGCGGTGCCGATAACATCAAGGCCATGGGTTCGGATCCCTATATAGGGATGGCCAGTTAGCTCACTCAGGAGAGCGTGGTGCTGACAACACCAAGTCAGGGGTTAAGATGCTCTTACCAGTCATCTTTAAAAAAAAAAAAAAAAAATATATATATATATATATAAAAGAAACCTCAATACGTTCCATATGCCTTAAGAAACAAAGCATAACAGCACATTCGAACCCCCAGTGAATTTCTGATTATAGTCCCCACCAATACCCAGAGGCAAACTCTCTCTTGAATTTAGCTTTCAGTGTTCTCATGGTTTTTAAAAATGGTACTGAATGGTATTAATAGCATGTGCATTTATATTGAACTTTTTTTTTTTTTTTTTTGTCTTTTTGTCTTTTTCCGTGTCCGGCAACGGATCGCAACCCTCAGTGTTGCCCCCG